AGCGCTACTGCACAATAGCAACGAGCTATGGTGCGGTAGCTTGTTGCTACTACCCTGCAGTATCTCATGTAGATGCACCCCCTTTCTTACAACCATAACCTCAAAGTGCACTCTTAGGTAATTTAATTTCTGTATCCAGTTAATCTTTGCCTTTGCTCTCAGCAAACATGCTTATTGTAATGTGGATGTATCTACTGGTAAAAATAGACAGATGGTTACAACATCCTGCTACTAACAATCTGGGCTGTATTTGAACCGGTGACCTGTGCATGGAGGGCTTAGTATCCCATTACAAATTCCCTGACCTACGCAGTCTTTTGTGCTTAATTTTCAAAACCATTCCTATCTCATACCCATTTCTTCGTAATTATCCCTTTTGGGTTACCTTCTCTGCTTCCCTTTCATCTATTAACATTGTTCTGATTTTTCTTCATCTTGAAGTAGATTTTGTGGTTTTGCATATGATTTCTAATCTTACTATTTTTAGCTTGTATTTCATTAACTCCTAAAATATTAGAATGTTCAGCAGCTGTTAATACAATCTTTTCTTGCTTTAAGACATATAAACATGACTGTTTCTCATAATTTTTAGAAATAGACAAAGGAGGCAGTGTTTGGATCCTGTTTAGATTTAGGCTAGAATTCAGATCTCAAATCTAACTAAAGCACAATCTTAGTGCTCTGATAATTTAGATTGAATGGTGCAGAAATTTTTACTTTCTCCTGGGAGTTCTTTTACATAGACCTTATTTTGGCATTTGAATCCCAGATACTCTCTTCCATCTCTCACAAACTGGGGGATGATGTTTGGATCTGAGGTTCCACTTAAGGCCAATCTCTGATCATATTTTGACAATGAAAGTATACTCTATCTTAAATTCCTACTCTGTTAGAAAGGTATCATTAGTAAATTACTTGCCTATTAAAAAAACCTTACTATTTCCTCACCAAAGTTGCTTACAAATTTGGATCTTCTTGAATTCACATTGTTTGTGTAAAAGTGTTTCTACTTCTCTCTAACATAAAGATTAGAAGAATTGAAATACATTTTAGAAAGCTTTCCATTGGTATCTTGGATTGAAAAGAAAGAGTAGAAAAATTTGCTAAATTAAAAATAGATTTGTTTTTATATAAACATCATATTGGTCATCAATAAGGTTAAACAATTCTAAATATCATACTGTACAGGAGTCAAAAAAGCAACATTTTTGTGCTGTAAATGTTGTTACCTGTAATCAAATATTTTATTTGCTGTTTAATGAATAAGTTAAATATTCAAGGAAAAGAGATTTATGAAAGTATTGTAATATTTGTCTTTTTAAACTAGAGTAAAATGCACCTAGATATTACAGTGATGAGGGTGGATTATATGCGATAATATAACTATCTCCTAGTTACCCCCTTCTAGTGGCATCAGAAAACAATTTTCTTCCATAATTCTGATACTGTATCTCTTCCCGTCCCCCCCAGGATACATTTAGTTCTGTGCATGAAATATGTTTGAGAAGGAAATTTAGACACTTGTTGAGTAAAACGGTTAAATATATGCTCTACTTTAACCGAGTCCCTTTTTAGCAAATAATTCAAGCGTGTGCTTAACTTAGAAGTGTGCGCTTAATTTGTGATGCTTTATTCCAACTGGAGTAGAGCCACCTATACCAGAAAGAAATTCATTTTATAGTAGTAGTGTACAATGCTATCAAGTCTCATTATACCTTTTTCCCCCACAGTGCTGATGTGTTAAATCATTTTAAAATACTGGAAGTGTCTTTCTATTGCACTTAGGTATTGAAACTTGGCCTGGCACTGGACCAAAGAAAGAAAATCAGCAGAGCGAGAGAGAGATGAGTGAGAGCTCCCTGTATGAAAGCAAAACTGATAGGCTTACAGAGGCAGTGAGTCTTCCGGTAGCTGCAGGGGAGAACCACATGGAGGAGCAGCACTGCAGTGCTGATTCAACACTGGAGCCCCACACCCAGCCCACGGGGACAGTGGGCAGGCCTTGTTCTGACTGTTTATCATCTGGGGATGCCGGTAAAGATAACAACAGTTTGCAGCAGAGAGAAACACAGCTCTCTAAGGATGTGGCAAAAACAGAAGACACAGCTGAGGAGCCTGGAGTAGAACACTCTGGTGAGCCAATGGTAGACACCTTTGTTTTAACAGATGATGATTACATGCCTCCTGATTTGATTTCTAAAGATGAAAATATACAGGCTGACAGACATTTACTCAGGTCAAAAAGCTGTGCTGGCACTGCAGAAACTGCCAGTGGCCAGCTAGGAAATAGTGGATTAAACCAGCAGCAGAGACAGTCTGGAGATGATGGTGGAAAATCCCCACAGGATAGAACTGCATCAAACATTTGTGAAAACATGTGCTATGGAAGTAATAAAGTACCTGAACATACAAGTACTGCACATCCAAAAGTATGCAAAGAAAGACAAGAAGCAGCAGAGCAGGTGGAGAAGCAGGAAAAGGTAAATAATGAAGAATCAGAGGATTTCTCTGTCAGATATTTATGGAGTAGCATAAAAGACACTGAAGAATCCCTTGCAAACTTAGAAAATCAAGAGGACTTGGAAACTCTTTCCCCAGGACAAGCATCTTACAACTCCCTGGAGGGTCTATCAGAAGACAGCTTTTCTTCACTTGATGAACTCGCAAAAAGGATAGAGATTGCAGAGGTAAACACTGAAAACTACCAAATTTAAAAAAAAAAGATTTTAAGATCTCAAAAATTAATAATTCAGATTGTACTTACCACTATTCATATGTAAATGTTAAATATATGTTCCTATTCTTCACCTCCTCTTCTTAAAAAGAAAAAAAATAATCTGTTAATTTATTTGATCACTGTTTCTTCCTTACTGAATTAGATCCTTTTATGCAACCTCAGGAATGCTTCTTAAAAGTCTGTAGTTGTTGTTGGGTACTCAGCACCTTTGAAACTCATTGTGTATTGACTTGGAATATTTTCTGTTTTCACCACAGAGAATTCTGTTAGGAATGCTGAGAAATCGTAGTTCACTCCTTTATAATTTTAGAGCAGGATGTTGCATACTAAACTTGATGTATATAGATTATTTTCCTTTAATTGAATAATGGTTTCCATATTTATTCATAACGTAAAACTTGTTTCTCCTGCCCATTACCATAGGCAAGAGAGAGAGGAGAATTGCCAATATTATATATTGTGCAGCACTTAAAAAAAAAAAAATCTGTTCATATGTTTTGAATGGCAAAATATTCACTACCAAGAAAATGTAATCAGTCAAATAAGAAGGGAAAACTATTGTCTGAAAAAGTCTTTACCTACCTATTTTAGTTATTTACTTTTAATTTTTCTAACTGCAACCAATTTGGTGGTTAAAGCAGATGTTAATTAGGATCCTCTAGGGTTGGACAAAGGACCCATCACTCTGCACATCTAGTTAGTCCACAGTGAGGTTAAACAATTCTAAATATCAAATTTTTTTTAAATCCTTTTAAAAATAGAAGGCAAAATGTGTTACCCTTGTCCTTTTGACCTATATTTGCACAGAGTAGACTGGTAGGTTATTATATTTCTCTTATTTTCAGGTCATGTTTCCAAGCTTTTCTTTACAACCAGGAGTCTTTTTTTTTTTTTATGAAAGCTCTGAGTGTTATGTTAATTGTAATCCCAGGAACCAGGTTCTTTAAGAAAGGCATGTAGTAATGTAATGTCTCAGTGTCTCTTGTATTTTATATGCATTTATCTTAGCAACACTTTTGTGGGTGGGGAGGTGCTATTTCCCTTTTCAATGACAGGAAGCTAAGGCATAGAGAGACTAAGAGAATGTCTGTATGGCCTTCCTCCTGACTCTGGAATTGCCACTGACAAAAGAAGCCCTGCCCTTGTGTTTCCATACACCTCTATGCCCTTCTGCATGATGCTAGGAAACACCAGGTATAAAGATAGAACTGCATTCAATTAATTTGCTGATCTTCGGTTCCAATAGTGTCTACATGTCTTAATATTACACGTGAGCCAGCCATCTGCAGAATTGAAACTGGGTTGTGGAAACATCAGCATTTGTACACGTCAAACTGATTGGTATATGTAGAACTTTGTCTACAAACTTTAGGAAATTTGACTCAAAGGGAACATACCTTACTGAATGATGCAAGGTACTCTCCAGAGACTTAATAGTGTTGCTACAACATTTGCAAACCCTGGGAGCTGGACAGTTAGATCAGGCATCAAACAAGAATTCCCATAAAAGCTTCCTTACTAGTTCACTGCTTCTATGCTCCTGCACCCATGGTGAAGAATCTGGACTTAAACTTCAGCCTTTAAATTGCAGCCAGCATACACAAAACAACCTAACCCAAGCTCTCTAGATGTAAATGCAGGAAACCTTCTTGGTATTGGGTTCTGGGGGGCCTTGAAATTCAATATATTGAGCTGCTCATCTCAAGGGTTGTTTTTTTTTATAGACAAGGGTTACAAGTTAATTCTGTAGCGGTTAATTGTTTTGTGTATGCTAGCTGCAATTTAAAGGCTGAAGTTTAAGTCCAGATTCTTCACCATGGGTGAAGGGGCATAGAAGCAGTGAACTAGTAAGGGAGCTTTTATGGGAATTCTTGTTTAATGCCTGATCTAACTGTCCAGCTCCCAGGGTTTGCAAATATTGTGACAGCACTATTAAGTCTCTGGAGAGTACCTTGCATCATTCAGTAGCAGCCTTTCTGTCTAAATAAGGAGTAATGGTGGCTGGCTTCAAAGAGAGTCTCTTCTAGCCCTCCTTAGCAGAAGACCTGAGTTTGTATAGCATAAATCAGGGGTAAATGGAGGAAAGGAAGAAATCTCAAAAAGACTTATTAAGGTATGATAGATAGGATCTTACGTATTCTGAAATGCTTGTAAACTCTCAGCACAGCCGGGTGAATTCCAAACAGCACAGCTACGTGTGTTCTGTTTCCTTGTCCCCAAGTTGATCTTATTACTTAATGCTGGTTTGGAATTTTCCTCTCAGAAATACTGAGCATCCAAAACATCAGTAGGGGACAACAGGTGCAACAAATGTTCGGCACCTTTGAGAAATCAACCCTCGAACTTGTAATTTTTGTTACTATTTTATTTTTTTCTTAGCAGTGTTAAAAATAAGTTTGGTACCATAACATTTTGTCACAGCACCAACTTATTTTTACACCCAGCATAATACTTTCTCTTCTATCATTGTTGTTATTAAGACCTTAAAGTTCATTCAAAATTTACAGGTGCCAAAGTGGCAATGGAAAAAAATGAAAAAACAAACCTTTTTAATACAGCAGATCTGTAGCAGGTCCAGTGCTGGGGCAGCCAAATCACCCCCTGGTGGCTGCCTGGACCCTTCCTCTTTTTTTGTTCCCTCTGGCCTCTCAGGGTCCCACCCTGTTGTCTCGCCTGCCATACTTTGATGTTGTGATTGGACAGGGAGGCTGCCCCTAGAGGACAGGGGGGAGTTAAGCTTTGAGTCTTAGGACCTTGTCTGGGCTGAGGCCCTTTGGTCTTGGCCTATTTTACTGTACCTCTGCCCAAGGTCTACTGTCTCAGGATCATGATCTCCCAGGTCTCAGCTCTAGCCATACCCTTTGCGGGCTCCAGGCCTCTTGGCCCCTTTGTCTAATGGGAAGCCTTTGCTCCTCTGCTACAGCCTCACACAACAGTCTTGGCCTGCCGCACTCTCTGTTTGAAGTGACAGGGGCTTCTGGCTCAGCGAAAGTAATGGAGAACTCAGACTGGCTGGAAAGGAAATGTAAAGAAACAATTCTTTCAAAGTAGTAGGTAGCATATTTATAAACTGATGTGATAAGGGTCCATCTAGTTGATATCATAACAAGTGGAGGTAGTGACACCCCCAGTGATTTAAATAAGTATTGAAAACACAGAACATCCTATACACATGTATATTTTTATGTTCTTTGTAATTTAAAGCTTTTTCTTTATTTAAACCCATGTGGAGGGCAACACATCATCTCTCACAATACTCTAAGGCCTTTTTTTAGGTACATTTTTAACAGGGAATGCAGTGAAGGCTACCCTTCAATTGCAAGGGCTGGTGAGAAAATGGCTATTGGGGTTACCCAGTATTTGTCAGGGGAATGGTCTTTAGAAATGCACAGTAAAGTAAAAATAAAAAGAGGTGGACATAATTATTTTGATTCATCACGTTTAGAAGACACTGCAAAGAAAAACAAATTGATAGCAGACAAGTGTGAATAAGTGTGAGTCTAGCTTAAAGTAAAGGTGCTGGCTTCAAATAATTAGAAGAATCTGATGGAGTATGTTTACATTTGTTAGAGGAGGCAAAGATTGATGTGGGTGTTTTCTTTTATTGGATTAACTGTATAGTTGGGAGGGATATAGACACAATTTTTGGTACCAAGTACTTGTCCACAATCTTTCAGGCACTGATTTATACTTGCTCTGTACTTGGTACCCAAAAGACTTTATCCTTCCCGCTATGCAGTTGGCCCAATGAAAGGTATTGCATGCAAAAAAATCCTTGCTTCATACATTTCCTGGACAACTAAAAAAAATCACCCCAATACTACCATTATATTTATTGCAAGCATTATATACATTAGTTGTTTCTTCAGCACCAGATCATCTCACAGTGTTTGCACAACAATTAGTAAATATTTATCTTTCCAAGCAAAACTACAGTAAAGATATATAAAGCCTTATACCCTGCCATCATGATGCTTCAGGCAGACAAAAGCTTAACCAATCTATATAATATAGTATGTAGTAATATATAGTAGCCTTGAAGCTCACCAATCTTGGGTTCTGGAGGAAAAATTACCAGAATCAGGTTTCTAAGATCAGCCTCTTCTTAGATCAGCCTCTTGCTGTTTCTGAAAGGATCAGTAGCCATGAGACTGTAGCCACTATAATAGGAACAGAAGTGAAGGTGCCACTCAGTCCCTTACTTCACTTGTGCTTAAAGGATCAGACTAGCATAATGTAAATTGAATCAATTTGGCATAGGTTTTTGTTATAAACTTCATATTTAAGTGGCCTATTTTTTTAAAAAGGTTGGAACTGTCACAGTGTCAATCTTCTGCCAAGTTCTTTAATAGAAAATCCTTTATGAGTTGAAATTAGTCCATTTACAGAAAAGCGAGCAGTGTATGTGTGTATTGTGTATATATGTCTATGTGTGGAACTAGTTATTAGGGCTGTGTGAAGCTTTGGCCCCCAATTCGATTCAGCAGAGATTCAGCCCAATTCGGTGGCTGAATCTCCAAATCCAAATCGAATCAGGAGACCCTTTAATCTCTCCAAATTGAATCAGAACCCTTTGAATCGATTTGGAAAGATTTGGTGATTTGGATATAGACACAGCTTTAAATGTTTTTTCTACATACCTCTAGGTAGCAGGCCGCCCATGAATGCTGTGATGGTGGGGTGCGTGGAGTGTCCCACAGGAGCGCGGGGGGCTTCCCAGCACACTTGGCCACAGACCTGGAAGTGGACCAGAAGCACTTCTGGTCTACTGCTGGGGAGTGCACTGGGGCCCTGCCCCCTTTCCCCCCTAAGGCCCTCCGGCTTGGCGACTGGTGCCTCCTGGGTATGGGGGGGCACCCGGGGTCCCCACTGCGGCTGATCACCAAGCCAGCCCCCTGCTCACTTCCCGGCAGACCCGGAAGTGGACCAGAAGTACTTCTGGTCCACTTC